TCATTCCCTCATGCTCTTTTCTCCTCCATAAAAATGCGCTCTCAGGAAAGGATTTGACAAACTACCTCCTGATGAGTTAAAATGACTTCCCACTCCGAAATATACTGGTTTTTCAGCTCAGATTAAAGCTTAATGTGAAAGAAATTTATCTTAAATTTTAGACTTTCAGAGAAAAACATGGGACTTGATTTCAAAGTAGAAAAGGATATCTGAAATCGGGCCAACTTTGACAAACTCAGGAGTTCTGGCAGCTGCAGCCGTCAGCCACAGGGGAGAGGGTTTCTGCTTGGAAGCGGAGAGCACCTTCCAGGACCTCTGAGGTCACACTGACAGAGGAGCACGGGCAGCTTCCCCACCCCCATCACATCCACCGTGCTCACGCGTGTACATGTTCACACACACGTGCATGCACACACGCACACACTGAGCAAGCGAGCCTCTGCTCCAGGCAGGAAACAGCATCCCACAAGGAAGAAGTCTGAAGGGGGCACCCCACAGAGCACCGCTAAAAGCTGCCTGGCCCTCCAGGTTCCAGTGGAAACATCCTTCCCTCAGACACAAGTCATGTCACAGGATGTGGCTGTTGCTAAGTAACGGTGACTCCCCCTCCCTGTAGGCCTCTGGGTCCCCAGGCCCCCCAACCCTGGAGAAGGAGAGTAAACAAGCAGGGAAATGCCTTCAGTGTGCTCTCAAAGCTCCTGTCCTGGGCGGGCAGGCACCTGTCCCCTCTGCCTTAGTGAGCTGTTGTGGGGAAGGAGTGGGTCTTAGGGGGCCGGGGGGATTGCCAACGGTGGCACAGCAGATCGAAGATGCTGGTGACAGCGGATGGCTCCCTCTAGCAGCCCCTCACTCCACACCCCCTTGGGTAACACCCGAAGTAAGCTGTCTGCAACATTCTGAGTGCTTAAAATTATAAGACAACTGTCAAAAAAACAACACTGGATTTGAATTAGGGGAGATGGGTGATGCCAACTGGGGTAGGGGGTGGAGAGGACCAAAGCAGATTTTGCTTGTTTTTAGTTTTTGTCTTTAGTTTTGGTCAGCTGTTTTGGAATTTAAACGGGAAAGAGGTGGGGTGCTATTCCACACAGCCCTTAACAAAACACAGACCACTGGAAGCATCAGCAGGGTCCAGCCAGCTCAACCCTCTGTGGACCGGCACAGCAGAAGCCATGGCCTCCAGGATGCTAAATAATCAGGGCTTGTCAGTACCAATAAGCCTCAATCTCTGAAGCCCCAAGAGGTTAAAAAAAAATTCTCCATGCAAGGTGACAGAGAGATTTAGACGAAGAATCCTTGGGAGGAACAAAGAGGCCGACTGCCGCTTTAAGGGATACGTTGCCTTCAGCCCATCTGAGAAGCCCCCTGTGTCACCTGATTGGCAACTCAAGTCCCAAATCAGCATTCCCCGGACGCACTGCCACATGTGCACAGAAAAGATAATGCTAATGTCGCTTCTTATTTGTTTTTCTGTCTACAAAAATGTCCACTTATCAGGATTTAATGGCTCTCAGAAATAAAGCTATTTTAAAACATTATCCAAAATGCAAATGAGTCACCAAAAGCTGTTGCCATGACCTTTCCTTTCGCTGGGCAGATGTTCCCGAATCAACGACAGCCTTCTGTAATGGCCTCACTCAGTACAGGATTCCCTGACTTGGCTTTGGAACATCCATCCCTCAACCTGGTTTTGGGGTGTGACAGACACCAAAATGGTGCATGGGTCACTTGTTTTACAGAGGAATCCCTGTGGCCCTACTAGGTAAGATGCCTTCTCCTTCAAAAGGTTGATTCCTCAGTCTCCCCACCTCTGATAACAAAATGAGGTCATCCAGCAACAAAGGAGTCCCCACACCTGCCTGCCATGCTCTGCCAGTGGAAGATCTAGATTCACAGGACCTGGTCAAACAAAGTCACCCCACCAAGTAGTCCCAGAGGGTCTTAAAATGGTTTCACTTCATTAGTTATTAGCAGTTAGGACACGTGACCTTTGAAGAACATCCATCCTCCTCACTGGTGTTAATTTCTGTTGTTTTTGGTGATGTAAATTCCACTTGGACAACCTGAGAGTTCCACCCTGGGATGCTGATTAGAAGGGGTGAGGACCTCAACACAAACAGAGTAAGCCCGGTGGGCGTGACCTGGTTAACTCACCACACACCTACCATTCCCACTTCAGATTAGGGAAAAAGGAAGATGCTTTGTGACTCTGTGGGATTTGAGCTGCATTTTGTCATATCAGAGGTCCTTCCTTCCAGGAACACACACTCAAGCACACATTCTGCTTGAACTTCCACCCCAGACGCTACTCCCTATAAAACACTCTAGACCTGTTGTCAGCATTTTTACAGTTCCCCAGATTTGAGAATCCCCAAACCAGGAGCCATCCGAGACCCTTTCCTTTCCCTCATTTCCCAAAGTCTCCTGTCACCCTCAGTCCCTTAATCCATACAATGGGACAGTCTTGCCTCTCTGGGAGGCGTTAATAGTGGTGTGATTAAGGGTGTGGATGGTGAAATCAAATGCCCAGACTTATACCCTGGTTAAGTGAGACCTTGGGCAGTTTATTCAAATCTGTGCCTCAGTTTCCCTTACATATAGGTTGAATTCATAATAGTACCTACTTCATAGAGTGGTCATGGAAATTAAGTGAGGAAAGGACCCAGCCCTTAATATCAGGTTGGTGGAAAAGTAATTGCTGTTTTCCCCATCATTACCATTACAGAGTAGTTTTAAGACTCAAAAGTAACTGAGGTGAAGAAAGTTACCAATACCTCTTCAATTGGTCTCCACCGCTTAATGCTCTAATCCGGGTCATCATCCCTTATCACCTGGACTACTGCAAAAAGCCTTTAGCTTGTCTCCCTCTAGAATCCCACCCGCCAATCTCACTTTCATGACACACTAGAGACCCACTTACTAATTTCCATCATTCTTCTTCCTAAGAACCTTTAGTATCTACCTAGTGCTTATTGGATAAAGTCCAGACTTTTGCCATGACCTGCAAGGCTTTTGGTGACTGGGCCCTGCCTCCAAGGCCTTCTTTCCTACCAGGCTGCTGCCATCAGCCTGGAAGGGCCTCCCCATTTCATCTTCGAGAACACCCCGCATCCTTCTCCACACAACTCAACCACCATCTCCTCTAGAAAGCACCTCCAGGTCCACTGGGTAACTGATCACTTCCTCTTCCAGAACACAACTGTCCCTGTTACCATTCATGCTCCTGCCTCTTCCCATAGACTATGTGCTAAAGGCAGGGACAGGGTGTCAGGCACCTATGTGTCCTGCCATACCTGACACGGTGGCTGGCACTAAGCAGATAGTCTCTTAAGCACCTGTGGAGTGCAGTCTCCTATTGCACTGACTTGGTAATGATCAGGGTCCATGTCAACAAGTCTTTATCACTGGGGTACAACCCCACTGAGATTATTGTAATTAAGTAGCCCCTTGTCTTAGCCTAGGTATGTTTCTCCCTGATCTCTACCAACAAAGTGGAATTTTGACCAGAAACCTCTGAAGTCCAGGTCTCATGCGATGCTAAACATACCCACTCTGGCCTCCCCAGAATCCAAAAGGAACACTTAATTTTTAACGCACTCACACTCTGTTGGCCTACCAATTAACACCAATTAATCATCTTCATTAGGGAGAGAAAAGATTAGAAAGAGAATTTTGGCCAACAAAATATTCTGTGCCGAAATCCAGTGTTCCAGGAGCTCATGAGATTAATCCACTCAAGATGAAATCCTCATGAAACCCACCGTGCTCCCCTGGAGACCCTGCACTGAACCTCTGGATGGTGTCAAAGAAGCACAAATGTCCAGCCAGGGAAGCAGCCAGACACAATGCTCTGACCACGACAACCATTCTGAAATTCATGACTGCCATCCCATGGCAGGGATGCTTTGCAATCATAACAGCCCCTGAAATAGGCATCCATCAATTATCATTCCTGAGACCCCAGGGAGGTGGCAAAGATGAATGATGCAGCAAACCTACTCTAAGTAGCTTCTAGTCCAGCGGGGACCAGCTCAACACTCTTCATTCATCAGCCGCCCTCCTCACAGCTTTCTTTATCTCTGGCCTGGCAACTCCAGCCGTCCAGTTGTTCAGGCCAAATTTCCTGCAGTCATTCTCGATTCTGTCCTTCTCCCCTATTTCACAAGCTACTCGCCAAAAATAAAATACAAAATTCACACAGAACCGAGCCACCTTCTCATCACCTCCACCCAGCCAGGCCACCTGGATAACTACAGTGGCCTCTTAACTGCCTCCACACCTGCTTCCGTTCTTCATGGCCTTCAGTCCCTTCTAAACACAGCACCCAGAGGGACTCTTCTACAGAGAAAATCGCATCATATATCTCTTCTGTTCAAAATCATCTTCTTGCCTCCTTCAGTCCTTAAAACAGCCTAGCAGACCCTATGTGTGTGTTCCCACTATGACTTCCCTTGCCCATTCCCTCCCTCTCTCCCCATATTCCATCCTTGGGTAATAATACTGGCCTCCTTCTTCCTTGAACACATCAGGCACACTTCCACCAAGGGGCCTTTGCTTTGCAGACGCACCGCTCCAAGAGGCCTGCTTAAAGCCCTCATTGTTTAAAATTGCAACCCGCTACCTTCCCAACCTCAGCACTCCCAATCCCGTTCTCCTGCTCTCTTTTTCTGTTGTTCATGACAGTTATCACAAGCCAGGTGTGGTGGCTCACACCTGTAATCCCAGTAATTGGGAAGCTGAGGTGGGAATATGGCTTGAGACCAGCCGTTCAAGACCAGCCTGGGCAACATAGTGAGACCCTATCTCTCTAAAAAAAATTTTTTTTCAGTTAGCTAGGTGTGATGGTGTGCACCTGTAGTCCCAACCTCAGCTGCTCAGGAAGCTGGAAGATCACTTGAGCTAGGGAGTTGCAGGCTGCAGTGAGCTATGATTGAACCACTATGCTTCAGCTTGGGCAACAGAGCAAGACCCTGTCTCAAAAAAAAAAAAATTATCTCTAACATTGTATATGATATACTTATGTTATTTCTATTATTAGATAGAATAATAGGGACACTATTTATAGTGTCCCTATTATGTAGGGACACAATAATTTAGAATACTAGGGATATTGTGTTCCCTGGTTAAAATGTAAGCTCAGTGATAATAGAAGTCTTTGATTTGTTCATTGATTTACCCAGAGAGTGGTACCTAATACCCAGTAGGCTCCCAATCAATATTTTACTAGTAAATGGTAAGAAAAATAAAGAGCACAACATATAAATGACTATGGGCATCTCTTAGAGCCAGGGACAGGAGGGGAGAGGAGGTCAGGAAAGGTTGCATAGAAGACATGACATTTGAACCAAACTGTGGAAGATGAATAGGTTTGAACCTGTAGGGTTGAGAGGAGAGTAGTCAGGTGGAGGGGTCAGTGTGTCTTACGTTTACAGAGGTCCCATAGAGAGGAGTGGGTTCAATTAGGCACAGAGGGGCAATGGGCAGACTGAGGGGAAGACATAGGCTGAGAAAGTAGGCTGGAGCCGGGCTGGGTGCAGTGGCTTACGCCTGTAATCCCAGCACTTTGGGAGGCCAAGGTGGGAGGATCATGAGGTCAAGAGATCGAGACCATCCTGGCCAACATGGTGAAACCCCGTCTCTACTAAAAAATACAAAAATTAGCTGGGCATGGTGGCGCATGCCTGTAGTCCCAACTACTCAGGAGGCTGAGGCAGGAGAATTCCTTGAACCCAGGAGGCGGAGATTGCAGTGAGCCGAGACTGCGCCACTGCACTCCAGCCTGGCACCCGGTGACAGAGAGAGACTCTATCTCAGAAACGAAAGTAGGCTGGAGCCATAGCCTTGATGGCCAGGGACAGCATTGTGCTGATGGAAGCTGATAGGGATGTTGTGACGAGCTGAGGTACTGGTCTCCTTTCAGCCACTTCCGTTTCATAAAAACACAAACTGGAACTATTTTTCAAAACACTATCAACTTTTACAGATGGATGCCGGCAGGGCTAAGGCCGTTCTCCCTTCCACGCATACTTCCCACGCGCAGCCTTTGAGGGGCCTTTGCTCAGGTGGCCGTCCCAGCCACGGCCATGGCCCCTTCCCCACCTTCCACTCCTTGAAGACTAAGAAGGCCCTGGCTCAACCCCTTCCCTGCACCTGCAGCCTGCTGTGGCTGCCACTGGGGGTCATCCGCTTCTGCAAGCCACAGCACCCCGCTGACCCCACTGAACCCTTCGTTGTTCTCTAAACATGTGGTCTGTGTTCTGCCCCCTCATTCAAATTCTCTGCAACTTGCACGCAGGGTCAATCTGTGCCTCGGGCCTCTTTCGTGGCTTGAGTTCTAAGCACTCGGTATCCAGTGAATGCCTGCTGTGCTCACTGTTCTTCCAGAGGTAGACCTGGTGCCTCCCCAGCATGGCGCTCCTACTGGCCACACTCATCACATCCACTTCTGAGATCACCACCACCGGGCATTCTTTCACAGAGAAGAACCTCCTGAGACAGCAAGAGTTAACTTAAGGTCTCACCTGAAGATGGAAGGGTGGTGGCTATTTAGTGGGTTCTGAAGCAAGTATTTGTTTCGGTTAACAAATGGATACGATGTACACGGGGAGTGAACGTCAGCATTCACCCAAACCCTTTCCTACTTTGCCAATGGACTGATCCACCTACCTCGAATCTCACAGTTGAGTCTCTGGCACACCCAGAGAACAGGGGTCCCTAAACTATACACGTGCATCTTTCTCTTGCTTCCCCTTCTCTCTCACCCTCAGGTAAAAATTATGAAAGTTCTACTTATATTAGAATGTGTTTCTGTGCGCCCCTCCCAGGGCAGCTAAGCACACCCAATTTAAACATAATGTATTGGTGGTTATACTTTTGCACCTGGATGGTTTTTAGCTACTGGAATTTATTTTCGTGGTTTTATCTGATCAGTGGCCCAAGGCTTTCCCTAATTAGCACTCTTGTCTGAGCTGATTGGACTGCAGCAGGCATGGTTTCAGACATGGCTTCTCTTAGTAAACACCACCAGAGAAGGCAGTCATGACTGGATTCAGAATTCAGTGGAAGAACAATGCCTCTCCCTCTTGCTATTTTCCTAGTGACTTCCCATCTGTAGCACGTGGCGTGGTCCCAGAATGTCAGAAAAGGGCAGGAGAAAGCCCCCAAAAACGCACATGTGCTGGTCAGACCTCCACAGGCTGTATTTGTTGGTGTTTCACCCAGGAACTGTCCAATGCCTGAAACACCTAGAGAAGGCATTCAGACGGCCAGGGACAAAGCTAGACGTGTGGCTGTCTGTCTACCTGGCCTTCAGAGTTATAGCTCTCCCTGGAGGAGCTCTGGGTTCCTCCAGGGCAAACATAATTGACCCCTTGAGTCCCTGTCCACATGTCTCCTCCCATAGTACACATACAAACTCTTGTCCAGATGTGTGTGCTCCAATCAATTGTACTGCTGGACGGCGGCCTGCCTTTACCCAGGACCAACCCCCTGGTACGGTGACTGCAGGTGTAAGACCAGGACAGGACACGCTGAGGGGGAGACAACAGAGGAGCTGGCAAGCTTATTGTTACAGGGGAATTGGCTGAAAAGAGTTAATGAGTGTAAAAGGAATTGGCTGTCAATACAGCATATCGGTGCTTGCAAGCAGCCCCCCACCATGGGATTTCCAAATTAGTAAGAACAGTGGGAAAGCAGGCTAGAACATATGTGGGGTGGGGTGTCTTCATGGGCCATGGAGGTGGAGTGTGTGAACTGACAGAGTCAGTGCTGCAGCCCAGGGCACCGCCAAGGCGAGGCTGGGAGCTGAAATACAGCTGAGGTCATCCCACTCCCCCAGGAAGCACGAATTCTGCCCGCAGTGCCCAAGGCTGGCCAGGCAGTGAGAGAATAGAGGAGGTCATTGGTCCGCCCTTCTGTGCATCCATCTGGCCCAGGACAGGAGCTCCTCTAAGACTCTCCTTGTAGGCATCTACTGGTTGTGCTGAACTGGAAGAGTTCTGTAGCAAGGGGAGGCCAAGATGTGAACGGGAAAGAAGACGGATGTGTCATGGCCTTGAAAATGGCTATTAACCCACTAGACCAAGGGTAGGACAGGGTTCTCCACCAGCACCACAGAAAAGGAAATGGGTTTAGCTATAGCAAGGGGATTGGGTTTATGGAATTACATTTGAAAACTATGTGAATTGTGGAACTCACTTCTTAGAGGAATGGGAGAGAAATACAGTGGACCTTTGAACAGATTTGAACTGCAATGACCCACTGGTCTTCTTCTGCCTCTGCCGCTCCTGAGACTGCAAGACCAATCCCTCCTCCGCTCCCTCAACACAAAGACAACAAAGATGAAGACCTTTATGATAATCCTCATTTCACTTAATGAGCAGTAAATATAAATAGTAAATACATTTTCTTTTTCTTATGATCTTTTGTTTGTTTATAAGACAGAGTTTCACTCTGCGGCCCAGGCTGGAATGGTATGCCATGATCATAGCTCACTGCAGCCTGGACCTCCTGGGCTCAAGTGATCCTCCTACTTCTGCCTCCCCAGTAGATGGAACCACATAGGCAGGCGCCACCACACCTGGCTACTTTTTAAAAACATTTTCGTAGAGATGATATCTCGCTGTGTTGTTCAGACTGGTCTCAAACTCCTGGGCTCAAGCAATCCTCCCACCTCAGCCTGCAAAGTGCTGGGGTTATAAGCATGAGCCACCATGCCCAGTCTCCTTATGATCTTCTTAATGGCATTTTCTTTTCTCTAGCTTACTTTACAATAAGAAGACAGTATATAAAACACAGAACATACAAAACATGTGTGAACTGACTGTCGATGTTCTTGGTAAGGCTTCTGTTCAGTAGTAGGCTATTAGTAGTTAAGCTTCTGGGAAGTCAAAATTTACTCATGGAGCTTTGACTGTGCAAGAAGTTGGCACCCTTAACCCCTTCATTGTTCACGGATGGACTATATTATAAATCTGGCCGCCTGGGAAGGTCTAAGGAAAGTTATTCCCAGAGAAAGAAGCATTACCTAAAAGACTCTCATTACAAGGCGAAAGGTATCCTCTCTGAATTCACATATTAAAATCCTAGGTGCCACTCCCTCAGAATGTTACTTTATTTAGAGAGAGGGTCTTAACCCAGATGTCAAAATGACATCATTAGAGTGGGCTATAATCTAAAATGACTCATGCTCTTGTAAAAAGAGAAATCTGGACACAGTGACAGACATGCATAGAGGGGAGCTGCATGAAGACCCACAGGGAGGAGATGGCCGTCTATAAGCCAAGAACAGTGGTCGGGAGCAGATCCTTCCCTCACAGCCCTCAGGAGGACCCAGCCCTGCTGGCACCTTGACCTTGAACTTCCAGCCTTCAGAACTGGAGACAATAAATGTCTGTTGTTGAAACCCCCCTGGTATGTGGTACTTCATTACCACTGCCCTAGCAACTAATGCAATTGTTAACGATCCTCTGTACAGCTGTAAAGTTCCCAGGAATACATGAAAGGTGTCTTCTTATAGTTCATCCCCAGGAAGCCTGGAACGGTTCACTGCTGATAAAGCTGCCCTCTTGCTGAACTCTGCCCTCTGAAGACAGGAGCTAATTTAATTCAGCACAATGCCTGGACATAATAGGTACTTAGGAAAGTCATTTTGTTTTCTGTTGTTGAAAAGCTTTTTAACTCCTTTTTATCTAAATCCTAAAAAAACAAAAGAAACAAAACCACAGATATGTTTGAACACATTCAAGGTTTTGCTTCTGTTTAGACATGGTACTATAAACATGCATGCGTGTGTGTGTGTGTGTGTGTGTCTGTGTGTCTGTGTGTCTGTAGAGGGAAACAGAGAGAAGGAGTGGGGAGAGAGAGAAAGAGAGAGAGAATTTTCTCCCAAGACTTTCAGTGGGTGGCTGGAAAAAAAAGTCAGCATCACGCCAGCATTATAGCTGCTGTTTGGGACTATTTATAGAGCTGGCCACGGTCATGTCAAATCTTTAAAAGAAGCAAAAGACCTGGGCACATTCCAGAAGCAGGAAGAAGGAACCCAAGTCCCAACACCCTGCACAGTGGAAAGCTACATCCCTACAGAAAACACAATTTACATTCGCTAAACCAAACCCAGAGCCTCCAAGGATTTTAAGGAGCTCATTCTGGCCCCCAGTGTAGTGAAAGAATAACACAATAGCCGCTGCATTTTCAAGCCTTAAAAAAGCTCTGCAATCAATGAATGAATGGCTTCCAATGGCAGAAAACACATAGCAGTTCCTCGGCAAAGAGCCTCTGAGTGGCCGGTGGTCAACCGTCAATCACAAGAGCCAGTCTCACTGAACAGACATCAAGGGGTGCCCTGAAACATTGCGGCAGGGGCAAAGCTAGGGCTAAAACCTGTCCCCCCACTCCTCACTTGAAGGCACCTCCTCCTTGCCTCATCTCACAGATGATGGTGTTAAGAATGAATTAAACAAAAATATTTAAACTTACAGAACACTTGGGACATCTGCACTAAAAAAAAAAAAACACTATTTCTACAATATTTCACAGATCTAAAGCAAGTGTGTCCTACTTTCAGTAAAACCAATATATTTTAAAATTCTGATTTTGAAACCAGATATATGGGAAGCAAGTTGTCCAACTTAGAAAAATGAGTTTGTTCCACTCAGGCCAAGGCCTCTATTTTACCCACCAGGGAATGTCTACCACATAGCCCAAGACCTGACAGACTACAGATCCTCAAAAGGCATTTGCTGTATAAGAGAATTATCTCTGTTAAATAGCCCGTTGCTCTGGTGCACTCAATGTACTACAGAATTTACAAACATTTCCTTCCCACGCCGCCGTGTTTGCCACATAAGGTGCAGCAGGTGAGAGGAGCTGGAGAAGGAGCTCTGGCCTCAGAGGACTGTTTCCTGGAAGATGTCTCCTCCTCTGGGTCCATCGCCTCTGCTGAGTGTTTTTCCAGCATCCCAGGCATCTCCAGCCCCATGTTCTATCAGCATTGTGTGGGCAGGACTGCTTTTTTGTTGTAAGAAACTGCTTCCTGGCTTTCCAATGACAATCCTAAAGGAGAAAGAGCAGCTGATTTCCATTCTGGCTGTGGCTTTGCTAGTGACTGGCTCTTGGGGAATCTACCATGTCTGTGGCTTCCTGGAAGCTAATGAATTTCAGGGCAGCGTGTAAATGGGGACAGGCTATCCACTGTGCCCGACACTGTCCCCACAGCACACTCACGTCCACCTCTTTGTTCCAAAATATTTGTTTCAGCCAGGCACGGTGGTGCCTATCTACAATCCCAACACTTTGGGAGGCTGAGGCGGGAGGATCACTTGAGGCTAGGAGTTCAGGACCATCCAGGGCAACATGGCCAGAACTGAGCCCTACAAAAAAAATTTTAAAAAATTAGCTAGGCATGGTGGCTCTGACTTGTAGTCCCAGCTACCCAGGAGGCTGAGGCAGAGGAAGTCCTTGAACCCAGGAGTTCAAGAATTAAGCTGTGATCATGCCACCGTACTCCAGCCTGGGTAGCAGAGCAAGACCCTGTCTCTTAAGAAATAAAAATGAAATAAATGTTTCTTTCCATCCCCAAAACATTTGTTACTTCCATCTGAATCAGGGAGGAGTAAGAAATGGTTCCACACAAAGCGTTCTGATAGGCTTTTAGGAAATCCACGCCAGGAAGGAATCATAGTAAAACATCCACTGCCTAAACGACTCAGAGGTGACTCGGTCTCATTTCCTTTCTGTAATTTTTATTATTTGTGTTATAAAAATGAATAAAGACTCACTGTAAAATGTTTGAAAACTGCAAAAAATATATATAAAGAAGAAAACAAAAATCATCCTCATGTTACCATCCAGAGACAATCTCTATTTGCATTTTGGCATATTTTATTTATATTTATGCACATAGACCTATTCCATTAGCCAGTTTAGAAGATATTTCATTTCCAGCTTCATGAGCATTGTCTCACATCATTAATATGCTTGAAATGCTTTTATAGGGTAACCCAGTACTCCATTCTATGGACATACCATAATTTACTTAACTAGTTGTCACTGCTAGGGGGTTGATTCCAGTTTTTGAGGAAGACAGATAGCACTGCAGTAAACAATTTTGTGCGTGCATATTACCCCAAATTTCTGATTATTTCCCTAGGATAGGATCCTAGAACTAAATCAAAAGGTACAGAAATCCAGCCACGCACGGCGGCTCACACCTGTAATCCTAGCACTTTGGGAGGCAGAGGCAGGCGGACCACTTGAGGTCAGGAGTTCAAGACCAGCCTGGCTAACATGGTGAAAGCCGATTTCTACTAAAAATACAAAAAATTTGCCAGGCGTGGTGGTGCGAACCTGTAATCCCAGCTACTCCGAAGGCTGAGGCAGGAGAATTACTTGAACCCGGGAGGCAGAAGTTGCAGTGAGCCGAGATCACACCACTGCACTCCAGCCTGGGCGACAATAGTCAAACTCCATCTTAAAAAAAAAGTACAGAAATCCTAAAACCTCATCCTTTCCAGAAAGACAGCACCAATTACAGCTCGGTACCGTATCTCTGTGACACTGAGCAATGTCATCTTTAACCTTCAATAATTTTATAGCTGGAAAATGGCAACTCATTTCCATTCTAATTAACATTTTTATTATTGTTATTATTGGAATTGTTGTTGGTGATAAGTGTTTGGCTTGAATCATCACCCTTCACCACAAAATGCCTATGAGGTAGGCCATCTTGTCCTTGTTCTAACAGGAGGAAACAAGGCACAACCAAGAGACCTGCGCAAGGTCAGACCCCTAACTTCAGAGCCAGGACTCCATGCTTTGCTCCAAAGCCACCCACCTGACTATGACACTATGCTAATTACTCAGGGAGTTAAACATTCTTCCATGTATTTTTAGCTGTTATATTTCTCTGTCTCTGAACTATAGTAAATTTATTTTCTGTATGGAAAACACCCCCCAGCATGTTGAATGTTTTGACACTCTATGCTCGTACCGAGATTCACACATCACCCCCTAACTCCTCCTCAGCTCAGTCCAACCCAAACAACCACCCAACTCCCCACACCGTTCAGTATGACACAGCGTCTTCCCTGTAGGTTAAAACACACTTAAACTGGCTTCATGTAACTTCTCGAGACCACTTAGAATGTTCTGGAATTTATGTAAGCCTTGATTTGAAAATGTCAGTTCACTGACTGGGCATGGTTGTTCATGTCTTGTAATTTTAGTGCTTTGAGAGGCTGAGGTGGGAGGATCGTTTGAGGCCAGGAGTTCAAGATCAGTGTGAGTAACATAGAAAGGCTCCATTCAACAAAAAAAATTTAGAAACAAAAATAATTAGCTGTGTGTGGTGGCACACACCTGTGGTCATGCTACTGGGGAGGCTGAGGCAGGAGGATCACCTGAGCCCAGGAGGTCGAGGTTACAGTAAGCCATGATCACACCACTGTACTACAGCCTAGGCGAGGAGCAAGACCCTGTCTCGAAAAAGAAAAAAAAAAAAAAAAAAAGGAAAAATCTCTGTTCCTAGACAAAGCAACAATACTTAGGAGCAACTGTATAGGAACTGATAACACAGACCAACTTGAAAAAACAGCTCTCCCCAAAGCCCATGCTATCGGAACACTCATTCTTTTCTTTCTAGGGGTGCAATGAGACATTGATTGTATTTTTTCCATACAGAGATGGAACTAGCTCAACCCAACAGCTCCCATGACAATGTAGTGGTTAAGTGCATAGTCAGGCCAGCCACTCTCCATCACAGCCACTCCTCAGAAGTCTGAGGACAGATGCCACCACCCTCCCCCATAGTGGGCAGAATCACCTGGACTGATGAGAGCCCCAGAAACCCTGCCCTGGGCCTAATTAGGGGACACCCTTGCACCCAACATCGATCCCTATGCTGACAGCCGAAGAAAAGGTGAGGAGGGAAGGCATTTCTTTCCTTTGAAGTCACCTGCTTGTCCAAAAATTCATGCCGCAGAAAAGTTCTGCAGAATCATAAACCAGCCTTGTGGCTGCCTCAGAGCTCATTCTGCAACTCACAGCTGATCATTCACTTGATTCAGCTCAGGTTAGAGAGATGGATAGGGTTTTCCCACAAATCACTTGATTAGGATGAGAAATCTATGTTTCTGCTTTTCTGAGCATTGCAGGAATTTTGGGTTCTCTTTAAACCTGTCTGAATATTATGGTTCTAGAAGCTTTCAGAGTTTCCTTTCTAGGATTTATTTTTCTGAGGGTGCTACCCTGGCAACGCTACTTTGTTCCCCTCCAGTGTCTTTCTTCCAAAGAATGCAAACACCCTGGCCAGCAGTATTTGGGAGGAAGCGCTGGAGCTGTGACAGTCGGACACAGGTATTGCAGCTTTCTTACTAATCACCCCAGCAGCTCTGCAGCAAGCAGTGCCACAGGTCACGCCTGACCTGGCCGCCCCAGTCCCCTGGCCTGGCACACCTGGAGAGAGAACTCCTAGATGCCTGCTGCCATCACCACCACCAGCAGCGGCCTTTATCACTGGCCATAGATCCTGGAGCACCTTGCTCATTACAGGCACTATGCCAGATGCTTGAACACCTACACTCCATCCAATCCCCACGCCAGGCCTATAAGACATGTACCAGGTGGTTCAGAGCTGGGGACACTGGGACTTTGCAGCCTCCTGGACTATTGGAGTGAAGTCTGTGGAGTTACCTTGGATTAGATCAACTCCAGCTCACTACAGATCTGTACTCTCAGATTGTCTATTTCACCTGCAAAGACCACCACGAGTCAGTTGCGAAGAAAAAATGGGTGAGTTCTCTTCCTTGCTCAGTCCTGAGCCACAGACTCCTTATTGCCGTTATCACTCTGGCACTTGACCTCACTCTCTAAGTGAACCCAGGGTGCTGGGCCCTTTGCAACAGGAAGAGTTCCCTCTCAGATAAATTGACAGACGGAGGTTCAACTGCACATCATGAGGCCAAAGTCCTTTCAGGCTGTCCTGATGGCGCGCTGACATAAACGGATCCCTTGGCACCCTTGCTGAGGCTCCCTGAGCAAATGCTGTGTGTCCCTTCAGCCTCAGTTCCCACCCTCAGTCCCAGGCAGTGTAGCCTCCACAAAAAGTCATTCTGCCACGTATGAGACTATAGACGGTGCTCTTTTCCAAAGCCCCAAGCCAGTTTCCTTCCCTAGCAGCCCACGTGTTCCCTGGTCTGTTTTCATTTTTCTTTCCCTGTGGAAATGGAAACAGAATCATTAGGTGTTCCATTCCTTCCTGGTTCACACCAGCATTTCCCTCTCCCCAGTCTACCTGGAATGTCCAACTCCTCTCCAGCCGATCTCTTCTTCTCCTCACTTCCCTTTCTCCCTCCCTCCTGGATGTCTGAGACAGCAAAGGATTCAACTCCCACCTTCTGAGATCCATCCTCCCATTCAAATCACATGACCCTGGGTAAGTCCCTTCTCTCCCCAAGACAGTTTCTTAACGTAAAAATTGGAGAAGGTGATCTTCCTCTCACTCCCTCCTCCCTCATAGGAAGATACTTTTAAAAACAAAGCAAAAGGTCTCAAAAGCAAAAAGCTTTAGGAGGAGAGCAGAAAGTGCCTCAATCTTCCCTAACTCCCCCTGAGCCCAGCCAACGGACTCCTCAGCCCTGCCACCTGCCTGATTTCTGAGGAGGGTCATTCCTCACTCCGGGCAAGCAACTCCATTTCTTTTCAGTGCAATCCTACAAGAGCCACCTCAGCTGTAGCTCCAGGCCTGGAGGAATCTATGAGACTGTGTTTGAGGATCTCGATCCACGCCCTCATCTTGGCCTTATTAATTCAGTCATAACTCTCCTAGCTCACAGGGCCCCTTTTGCGGTGAAAGGCTCGAGTGACAGCACTGGAAGAAACCTTTTAATTTTGATGTAGACGCTCAGCACATCTCTCTGTCACTGTCCGGCTTCCCTGTCGCTCTGTGGGCAGAGGGCATTCACCTCCACGACCCGCCGGGCCAAGGTCCTTCCTGTCCTGTCCCGAAGCTTGTGATCCAGCATGCTGCTCCCTGAGAAAATAAAGGCATCCAAGAGGGTCCCCACCCTGCCCCATTCACCCCATCACACGGCCTCTGGCTACCATCTCCTCCTCCCCTGAAAGCTGGACAGAGGCCAGGCCCCACTTCCTTACCCGACTCGAGGCATTCTCACCTCCACCCCTCCACCATCACCTTTGTGCCCTGCACACTGACCCTTTTCCATCCAATACAAACATCCCGCTACTTTCCCCATTTTTAAACAAGCAACACTAGCTTTGACGCCACGCATCCCTAGAGTTGACGTTTCATTGTTTTGCATGGCTTTACAGCTCCACTCCTCCAGGAAGTTGTTTGCATGCATTATCACCAATGCCTCTCCTTGAACCCACTCCAG